TATATATATATATATATATATAGAAATGGCCTGATCTCGTTTTTGCAAATGGGTTGTGTTGTTAGAGCGATCTAGAGAAACGCAACCTGTCCGAAGTGCTCCTCCAATGTAGTTAAGTTTGTTTGCAGCGCCGATAAGTGGACTTGTTATAGTCCCAGACTTTTCGCCTGTATCGTCAATGACTTAAAAGTTGTGTTAGAGAGGGAGCGAGATACGGGGCTAGGGGTTTAGGTTGATGTATGAGGATAGAAAAAGTAGCGATAAGATAATTGTTGATCCGAATATGAACTTTATTTGCCATTTTGACAAGTAGCAAGGCTCATTGACGGTGCCTACCCACGATGTTGGCAAAACGACTAGGAATGTCTGACCGTGGAAATTTTCCCGACTACTTTGGCAGAGGACTTCAAACAAGCTGCTATTATCTAAGTCACCCTGACAACATAAGCAGTTTATGAAAACGAGATCAAGCCATCCTGTGAGTCTTTGTCGTGTTTAACTGTGAAACTTTGCGATATCGTTTTTTGTGATTTGTGTGTCTTCAGTTGAGTTGATCAGGCCTGAAATGAAATGCTTTACGGCAACTTTTAACCCTTGCTGCTGATATCCTATCAGCATTACTCTTTCTTTCTGCCATATTTATGTGATCCTAAATGCCACCTTACTGTCTCTGCCCTTTGCATTTCAGGTGAATAGTACCATGTTTGAGCGTGCCTGTAACGAGGTTATCCGACTGAACGGCGAGGATATCGGAGAAGACTTTAGCCTGCCGAGCCCACTTCAGGCAATGCCAACTGAAGAGCCGCCGGCACCCGAAAGTCAGCCGGAAACGTTTTCCTCAGATTGCCCTAGGGACGAGGAAGATGTGTGTCAGGAGGGACCCCAACAGCCAGGAAAACCAATTCTCGGAGTTGAAAAGACCAAGGAGCTGAAGATTTCCATAGCGGAAGACGATAAAAGGGCGCCTCTGATAGATCCGAGCTCTTCTGATTTGTTTGCCGCCAAAACATTTTCTCCTCTGTCTTTGTCTACTGTGTCCATTACTCCGGCTTCTCAGATCGTCGAAGAAGAGATGGTTTTCCGCCCAATCGACAACAA